ACATTGGTAGGACGGTAGCCTGGTGGGTTGACGTGGGTGGTTTGCTCGATATATTCAATCGACCGCTGTGTGAACCGGTGGTTCGAACCGCAAGGCCGTCCAACCCGTGTTGTAAATCATACGTTAAATGGTAAGACCTTGTTAATCCTTATCTCGCACAAGTTTCAACTTTCGAGAGTTGTCGTTCGTAGTTTTTAACAGATATCATTCAAAGGATTGCTACACAGTAAATATAGTGAATGGAAGTAAGTAAAGTTAATTGTTTTCAGGTTGTGTGAAAAAGCGACTCTCTTACCTTATCGAAAAAACCCAACTCTGCCTTTTTACTCCTTAACTTTTTATTCTCTTCATTTGATTGTAGTGTTCCTTAGTTTAGGGCAATGAAATCATTATACCGAACTGATTCTGTTCATACTATCAATTTTTACACAGTTTGTAGTAATATCTGAAATTCTGTATGGGACTATTTTGAATCTGCTTGTATCTTATAAGGAAAATATATTCGATACTACGATTACGCACTATCAAAAACCCCAATCAATAAAAATGATTTATCCCAGACTGACCGTTATTATTTTTCAGCAGTATCAGCCTGTTCCAGTAATATGCTATACGAAAAAATATCCACTTGTTTTTTCAAGACAGACCCTAAACCCATAAAATGATTTATGCCGATAAATCCACATAAAAAACGTTTAGCCGCTATAAGAAAGCTGCCTTCAAAATGTTTCGTAAATTGTATAGGACTTTTAACAAAAGTGGTCGTAAAAATCAACCGGGGGAAATGATGAAATGGAATTTGGGAGATGCAATTGAATGAAAGGTCTGCGTGGCCCATGAAGATATTGTTTATTTGGAAAACGTTGCCAAATATCTCTGAAACCAAATGAAACAAACACTAATTAATAACGGAAATCCTCATTCAAATACCACAATTTTCCTTCGATGAATTGATATCGATATTATAACGAATACATCTGAAAGTTTCGAAACTATCCATTGTTTTGGTTTTCATTTCATGTAAATGACAAAATGGTTGAGTTTTTCGTGGCAGAAGTTTTTACCATTTTTCGGGTTTGAATGCCGCCGATAACTCAGGATGTATAAACCTCTGAAGAAGCTAGCCACTTCAGGAAGAAATTCCAAAAATCGACGGGCTTTAAAACGGAAAAATACTGATATTTCATAGGTACTTCCAACTCTTCATAATTTGGATTTGTAACATTGATATGGGACACATTAGAAACAGTTAGGAGTTTTTTGTGAAGTAGCATATTTCGATTATAATGATTCGTACGGTATGAAGATGATATAAATATAGAATATCCCTTATTTACGAGGGACCAAAAATTTCAGACATAGTTTAAGTAAACGATATAGTGCAACCTACCTTCCAACAGCTTCCATTTAATAATATAGTTTAGGGAGCTAACTAATTCCGTTATTGAATAATCATTTCTGATTTTATAAGATATTAAATTCTACAAAAAGGATTTGAAGCTTTATATCTTCTATAAATTATCTGCGAGCGCTTTCGACAGTTGGTAGTACTGTTATCTTCTAGGCACCCTTCAACCCTTGAAGGGTGTCCGCTGAAGAGCTGTAACGAGTTTTCCCTTCGTATCAAAGCCTTGATAACTACAAAAAGGATTTGAAGCTTTATATCTTCTATAAATTATCTGCGAGCGCTTTCGACAGTTGGTAGTACTGTCATCTTCTAGGCACCCTTCAACCCTTGAAGGGTGCCTAGAAGCACAATGATTAGTCGCGATCCTTTGTTTGCAGGCACGTTAGGCATACACATTCTCGAACCATCAGTCCACCCTTTCGTAACTATGTCGTGAGTGTCATACCAAGTTTCGTCCAAATACAAAATTTGCCGTTGTTCTTGTCTATATTTACTTATTCGTTCTGAGTATTTGTTAAGAAATTTTACTATTCTTTTGTTTTACATAACTGCTTCACGTTTGTTCATTATTTCGAATCTAAATCCTAGTATCTTCATCCAATTCTGAAGAGTTTTGTCATAACAGCTCACGTTATGGCCGGAAGTATTCAATTTCTTCCTTATGATTTCAGTTGTAGGAATCTCATCGCTTTTGTAACAGTCGTATATAGTTTTTTCAATGATTTCATCAGATGAACATCTAATGGTTTTGGTAATCCTGTATCACAACGTGTCTTGGGTTCATAAGGTTGTTTTTGACTACTTTACGTACAGTTCAGGAAGGAATTTCGGTTGAACCTAATGTTGCTTGTAATAGTTTGTTTCCCTCCAAACAAAACTTGAGATGTAGATTCTTATAGACATTGAAACATACTCCCAATCTTTCAATATTCAATTGCATCCGAATCTTATTCACTGGTGTCTCTTTTTTGCATTGTTTACCATCGCTATTGGATTCACTAGACTGGAAAAAGTCTGCGTTGTTATCACACCCCTTATTACTCTTAGTACTTGTCCAAGGATAAGTAATAATAACTGCACCGATATCGAATTTCAACACTCTAATCGCGATCAGTTCCTGAACTGAACACGAGGGCGATAACCATCTTCGCATTTCCCGATTTCTATTCGTCACCGTAATGTGACTTCGAATTTCATTTTATGACTCTTCAGCCAATCATAAAACTCGGTTAGTAAAAATTATCCAATTCGAACCGCCAAGACTACAGTCCATGTGATCTAGTTCCTTGCTGATTCATTTCTATGTATTGGTATTTTTGGCCTTTGAGAGTGTCGCCAACTTTAATAGTGCACTATAACGTTCACTTCGACTATATCGAATTTGGTAACGAATCGAGAAGCAGATTGTGGAAGACTGGAAATAAAACAGTTTCTGGATTATATTTATCTGTCTGTGAAATCTGTCTTCACAAAGATGTGAAGATTCCCACAATTTTTTTTGTGAAAAGATGGAGATGTTGAAAGTCAAAACCTTTTTTCCCCAAATTATCATCTCTTGAAATTTACCGTTTTCAATTTAAATAAGATTTTCATGACTGAGATTGAATCAAATAAGCGAATGAATGTTATTACGTACTGCCATCGATGACATGAGTAGATTTAACTCGTTCTTGACATGAAGTCATGATTTTATGAACGATTTGAGTGATTCTTCTCGTGATATTATCCAGATTGGTGCTGAAGGGGCAATAATGCAATTGTCTCATTACGAAACATCGATGTTTGTCATTGAGGATATGTAAGTGAAATTTTGCCTCTCTCATATACTATATTGTGTAGCAATCCTGTGAATGATATCTGATTTGATTCTATAACAAATGTTTGGAGTTCAAATTGAACTGCAAAATTTTTTTTCGTACCTATAATTCAATGTTCATATAAAATTAGTTTTTTGAATGTATATTTTTTTCGTGTAAGTATGAAAGTAGCAGGAACCAGAAGCATATCTTTGAAGTCAAAGACCTCCTGAGCATGAAGGTCCAGGTTGAACCCCAACATCCAAAAGCTTCGGTGAATCAGTGCCACCGATGCCAACGTTTCGGCCACTGTCAACGCAACTGCTTAGCAGTCCCCATCTGCGTAAAGTGCGCCGGCAGGCATCTAACTAGTGCCTGCAAAAAGGTTAATACTGACCCCCCGAAGTGTAACAACTGCAAGGGGGCACACACCGACAACTACCGTGGCTATCCGGCGTACCCGAAGGTACAGCAGAAAGGGAAAACTTCCGCTAGGAAGCCAACCCCTTCAGGAAGACCTATGGGGTCTGGACGCGTACAGGAAGGGGTCAGCTTTGCTAAGACTGCATCCAAGGATGTTAGCAGTACTGCAAAGCCCGCCCCTTCTCAACCTGGGCCCTCTCCTACAGACATCTGTGCCGCATTGGACCAGATGAAAAAGTTGTTCGTACAATTCTAGGCAACCAACGTTGCCTGGATCTCTGAAGATAGTTTTTTGGAATGCAAATGGCATTCGTTTTAAAAAACTTGACTTTGAGAACTTTTTAAGTGAAAATAACATAGATGTGGCTTTAGTCCAAGAGACACATCTTAGGAATGAATCTATCGTCATCTCAAACTACAGATTCTTTCATAGAGAACGTGTTGGACGTGCTGGAGGGGGAGTTGGCATTTTTGCCAAACGATCCCTTCAGTGTGTCCAATACGGCATTGACAGTGACCGATTACACGGAACTGAGGCTGTAGGTGTCGAAATTCAACTGAATAGGGGTTGTCACAGAATAATCTCGGTCTACAATCACCCGAACAATCGATTACTCCCTGAATCACTGGATAAACTGCTAATGGGAAGCAACACTCCGACAATTGCTGCTGGTGACTTTAACGCCAAGCACAGACCATGGAGCATTGCCACAAATCGAAATGGCCAAGCGCTCCATGCGTACGTTGACAGGCATGAATATCTTGTGCTGTGACCAGATGAGCTTACGTACTATCGCGGGCAGACCAGGCCTGACGTAATAGACATCGCACTTCTCAGTAACGTCTCTCTGACTAGCGAAATTTACGTTCTATCGGAACTGGATTCCGATCATAATCCAGTAATCCTGGTATTGGGCGATGATCTTCCTTCCCCTGATTATCGCATGAGATTTAAGACGGACTGGGATGTCTTCACAGCCCAGCTCGCAGAGATGCGTGCCCCTTGAGAAGGCTCTACCAGCGGACCCTTTTCCCAGGGGAAAAATTGCGGTACAGAAAAGGCTTTTTTTCAGTTCGTGGCTGTAAGTCACTCATTTGCATGAGCTACACATCTTTGTGTAGCTCATGCTAATTAAAATTGATTGTTTTTGGGAGATTCCCTTTGAAGCTTAACTATACCAGTACAGTTCTTTATCCAGGGGCTTGTTTCTGGAATACTGGTATGCTCTCGAATACTTATGAAATATATCCAGTGATTGTTTTCACCCAGATTACTCAATACCCATTTGTATACCCTTCATTGTTTTCTTCAGTAATTCAACAAAGTGCTGGCAACTTTTTGTCAAATATTTCCAAGAACGAAAAATACTCACCCTTTCGTCGTTGACGTAGAGGGTGATATTGGCAGCTGGGTAGGAAGGAGGAGCATGGCAGTCGGCAATCAGAGGTCGGCCATGCTCAAGACCGGCCCTGTCCACAGTTACGATTGGTACTCCAACAGGAACAACTGAAAAGAATTAAATAATTCGTTTCAAGATTTGAATTTTCAATTTTGATCTTTTCACAAAAAATACAGTTGCAATTCTTGGTAATGACAAGTCAGATCAGAAATCTGACAATATTGAGCTGAGTACAACACCACTTTCATGAATGAGAAAGTTTATAGTATTTGTTTGAAGGTGGTTGACGATGTTTCGTGGTGCATTTCATTAGTTTGGACTTCCATTGTCAAATATGATATACATTGATTTGAAATCCTTGAAAGAATCTATAAAAATTAAAAAGATAACTGAAAAATAACAATTATATTGAGCAAAAAAAAAGAAATTACAATGGAATGAAATACAAGCAACAATTAAAAATTGAACTATTAACAAAAAATGAAAATTACTGTTTAAATTATTTGAAAAAATAGTCGCAAATAGGATTACGCATTATTTGGCAGAAAATAATATACTGTACAAAGATCAACATGGATTCAGAAAAAATAAATCAATTGAAACTGCAACATATCACTTACTGAATTATATCTACAAAGAAATGGATTCGAATAATTTTGTAATGTCTTTATTTTTTGATCTAACAAAAGCGTTTGACATAGTGTCTCCTAAATTTCTAGTTGCAAAACTGACCCAACTTAGGTTCCCGAATAACTTGTTACAATGGATTGAATCTTACCTCAAAGGGCGTACCATGACTGTAAAATGTGAAAATGTTAGATTAAGGTGCAACGACGTTAAGCTTGGAGTGCCACAGGGGTCAGTGCTTGGACCATTGCTTTTTTTGTTGTATGCAAATGATTTGTCAGAATATCTGAAAGATTGCCACCTTACCATGTTTGCGGATGATACCACTATCACAGTTACAGGGGGAAATATTGATGTACTGCTTAGCAAGGTAAAATGCATAATCGATAAGTTTAGCTCCTGGTGTCAGCGAAACAGATTGATATTAAACTCCACAAAAACTGTAATAGTGAATTTCTATAATAGGAAGAATAATGTTCCAGATGACCTACAAACTATTGACGAAATAAAGATTAGTAGCGAAGTGAAATTTTTAGGAACTTACTTGTATGAAAGCTTATCATGGGATCTGCAAATAATAGATGTCTGTAACAAATTAAACAAGACATTCTTTGCTTTAAGGCAAATAAAATCATGCATGGACACAGCAGATCTACTAGAAATCTATGTATTTTGCTATGGTATATTCACATGTATCCCCCAATATCATAGCATGGGGTTGCAGTAATGAATTCATCGGAGTATTCGTAGCACAAAAGCGCATTGTTAGACTAAGTTTCAGCATTGAACACCGAGACAGCTGTAAACCAGTATTCGTTATGGAAAAATTATTACCGGCTCCCTCCATATACATTTTTAAATGTATAGGATTTGCTAGATCTAACATCCATGAACTAGAAACAAACGCAACGGTGCACAGTTACAACACACGTCATGGTGATGTTTTGCGTATTCCAAGTCATAAGACAACGAAATATAAAAAGTCCCCTTTGTATAATGCCATAAATCTGTATAATAAATTACCAGAGCAGATCAAACAAATTACCTCTGATAAAGTGTTTCATGGTAGAGTAAAGCAATTGCTGCTGCAAAAATGTTACTATAGTTGTGATGAATTCCTGGAAGATGATTTCCGTTGAGCAATGATTTTACTTATTTTTTTCCTCTTACTATTATTTAGTGTTATCTTCGACGCCTGTTCCATATTTTTACTAAGGAATTTATATACGTGTCTTGTCTATATATGTGTNTCAATTGGTTCCAACTAGTAATTGTCAGTTATAAGGCTGTTTCACAAGAATGTTTACTACGAAAACCTGACTGGTTCCCTAAGAAAATATTGTTAATATTTATGTCTTCAATGAGTTGAATTCTTGACTTTTGGAATTGGTATTATAATGGATGTTTTCAGCTCATTTGGAAATAATCCTGTTGAGAAGGATGCGTTAATAAGATTTAGTAGTTGAAAACCACAAGTGTCAATGGTATTTTTTATTATCTGACCATTCATAACATCATGTATATTACCTTTATTTCCTAGGGTAGCACTTATATTTGTAAGTTCCTTTATACTTATTTCACTAAAATTTTCAAGGTTAGTTTTTATTTCTGGGGGATGATTGACGGACCATTCGTTATGATAATTTATGGTATCAATTATATCACCTACAATCGATATGGAATATTCATTGAAACAGTTTGCAATATCATTTTCTGTTTTCGCAATCACTACTCTATCTCTAAATTCAAATTTCATAACTGTATTTGTAAATGCAAGATTTTCATTTCGAATTAACTGTTTTAGCGTTTTCCACATTTGTTTACAATCTCCATAATGGAAATCAATCGCATTTTCGTAATAATGTTTTCTCTTCAATCTAACACTGTTATTAACTTCATTTCTACATATTTTGTAGGTATTCCAAAGATTTTATTTTTCCTCCATGTTTCTACTACACTGTTTAAATTTCTTTTAAGCATTATCACGATTTTTTGGCTTTACATGTATTTCTTTATGGAAAATAGTGTTTACATCTAAGCAATTTGTTGGCCAACTGCAATCAATCAATCTCAATTTTATCATGTGAAAATTATCTATATTAAATTTTCTGTACATTTTTGAAACTACATTTACTGGTCTGTTGTTACTTCTAATGTTAATAGTTATTGTATCATGATCAGTGATTTTTGGAAGTTTGTAATCCACATATCGTCATAAAATTGAATATGCAGGAATATCTTTACTCAAACATCCAGTATATTTCGGCCTATTCCCACGTAAATATAGTTGGTTTTCACTGTGTAGGGTACTAATTATATAATTTTGTATTCAATCATTGTAAAACAGGAGTTTCACGTTTATGCTGAATAAATAAATAAATATCAGACAATGTAAGTCCGAACTAATGAAATGAATTTATAGTAATGCTGTCAGAAAATGGGTTTGTTTATATGAAATGAACAACATTAATGTTGAACTATTCCTGAATATTTCACAACATTGGAGAATATTCCAGAATGAATGCTCTCGAATATTTTCAAATGTTTTAGAACTCTCTAGACGGCGAAGCTTCCATTTCTTTCATTTTCAGAAGCATGTCTTTCTTCTTCATAAATAAGCCAATGTGACACTATGACAAAATGAAATATAGGCGTATATATAGCTGATTAACGAAAAAACAGATTTTAAACAGATTTTTATGTTCTGATACCCATGCCAAACTATATCGGTAGGCTAGTATATAATAAGCATTAATCTTAATAATAATTAATAATCATTAATTAATTAGCTTCAACTCAAAATGATAACATGTTCAAATATTCCACATAGTAAACTCAGAAAATTTCCATTTCCATGTTAGCCAGAATAGTTATTTTTTTATAGGTGTCAGTCCACTAACCTACGATTTAGGTAAGTTTAGACTGGCCTAAATGAATTGTTCTTTTAGATAATTTGATTTACATACAGTCTCGAAGTGAGCCCACTCACTATATGTGCACAAAACAGCTGTTTCGTTGGTGATTTCCGAGTGAGAAAATCTTCGATCAACTGTAGTTTGTTAACTGTTACCCTCCGCAGCTTCTATTTCCTTTTCCATGGCGCCGATGACATTCATTAATCACGCGAAAACGCAGCGAAACATTTCAGAAATATTTCAGGACCTCCATCCTGCTCCTTGCACCCGGACGTAGGATGCAACTCGGAGTTGAAAGTCGTGCAGCGCCCTCTATGCGGGCGTCCGGCCTTGATATATCGTCTTACGTTTATCATAACCGGATGCTGGATAATAATGTCGGGAGAGTTGCAACAGTCTTCGCTAATGGGCTTCTCTCGAGGTGTACTCTAGTGATTTATTTACGAACGGTCGGGTATTAAGTTTTTCGCAAAAAGGAAACTTGCACTGATTGCCGTTGTTCGGCGGAAATGTATAGCTAGAAATGTAGTAGTGTCTTTTGAACAGATTCTATAACGAATGAAGTTATCCGGCTCGAAAGACCAAAATATGTTCGATCTCCAATATGTTTCGAGTTGAAAGTGAAATTTGAGGAATTGATTGCGACGATGGAAAGAAAATGGGATATCGACTATTATAGGGGGAAGCTATCTTATGATAGGATTCAGAGGTTACGGTTATAATGCAATGAGTGCTGGTAATGTACATGTAGACGAGGGCAATCTGGGAAGCTTCATGAACAATACATTGTTTTTCGACTCGAAAACACAAAAAGTTGAGCAAAAATTTTGACAAAGGCAAACAAAATCTAAAGGAAACTTACTGCGACATTGTTGAATAGTTTGGAGTACCCACTGATGAACTAACCGTGTAGGGAAACACGTCATAAATAAGATTTGAAATCTGTTCAAAAATCTGTTTGAAATCTGTTTTTCCGTTAACCAGCTGTTTCAAATTATTGTTATACGGTAATACAGGATAGTAAATGAATACAGCTACAAGCAATCTATCAAGAAATGGGAAATTTACACGAAGACGTTTCGAAAAAGAACTGGACTAGTTACAACAGAGAAGATCTTGTTGAATACTGGATGACTAAAAGATAATCACTGCTCAGCAAAAAATAGAAGTCGTCACAACCAGTGACTAATCAATAAAATACAAGTTAGCTACGAGCACCGTAACCTCGTTATCCTCCTCATCATAACACCAAAAAAACAAACCGGAAAGCCTTTGAGCTCAGAGTGGTTGGGTTTTGAAATAAGGGATTCTACAGACATAAAATTGGCAGAAGATCAATTGATACTATCATATCTATGTTCAATGAATACCATCCTTCAGTCAGCTTGATGGAAAGAAGATCTGGCAAGGATGAGGCAACAAACTGAAGAGCATTCTATAGCGCAACTAAATGAATACAGAATACCCTCAAAGAGATTACAAAAAAAGCAATACGATGAGGTTAAACAGACCCAAGGATGTACCTGGTTTTATAAGAAACCCTTGAAGATGAACATGCTTGGAGG